TAAACGGAAAAATACTTTCAGAAAAAAAAAACATCAGGCGTGTGACCCGCCTTTCTTCCAGCGACTAAATGCGACCCCTTCCTATTGAGGATACCGTAATGCGGTCGTGACGTGCTCCCCGCCTCCTATGTTATTAAATGTTTTACTTGTTCTCTTTCAGTGAAGGAACGCCCTACTCCTCCTGGCGTCATTCGCTGTCCAATATGTGCACAAGAGTCTCATGTTGGAAACGATGTACGCTACGTGCACACAATGCTCCTTGATTATGTGAGTAGATATCTGATTGATCACCATTCTTGGAGCTCAAAAGTACCTCGTCCACAGTCCACAAAAAGTCCACGAAAATTGAGGAACTGGTCCAAGAAGGGGTAGAAGAACAAAAGATTCCGTTACGATGCCAAATCTCGCTGCTGTCTACACTTGTCGCGGTACATCATCCAGATTTGAACAACCACACTTTGTTCCTTTTTTCGTGACTAACTGGAAGAAGAAAAAGACATGAGCAGAAGAATATTACTACAAAACAATAGTGGATTGTTTCGTGTTAACCTCATTCGAACCACTGTTATTTCGTCGTTCACCCCTCCCCGCTCCCTAACGCAGAAAGCTTCATGAAAACTGCTTCATTCAGGTTCGGCTTGCGGAGAATGAAGAAGCCGTTGGGGAGCGACGTTGTCGCGCGTGCAAATCTGAGCAGCCAGCAATTGCTGTTTGTAAGCAATGCCAATCAGATTTGTGCTCGAACTGTTTATCTGCTCACGGTGTTATGAGGATGTTTGAAGGACATGAGGTTTGTTTTTTTATGTCTGTAAACTGTAAGAGCTTTGGTGTATAAAAAGGATTACTTTTATCTTCTTCAACTTCAGGTAATGACGTATGCTGAAATGGAACAACGCGGTCAGCGAGGAGATGTACGTCCAGTGCAGTGCCCGACGCACTCACTCCCTTATAAAATGCTCTGCGCAACTTGCGAGACGTTGTGCTGTAAAGTCTGTCTTGAAATGGAACACCTAAATCATAAGGTATGCCATTGGTCTTCCTTTTTTAGAAAAAAAAACGGTGAACCTACGGTTTTCTTATTCCTGCTGCTCGAGTAGTTTTGGGATCGTGTGTTTTTAATTTCCCTTAGTGAATAATGTTGAGAAGTATAATTTGAACTGTTCAGGTAGTCGAAGTGAATGCAAGAGTGGTATTCACCATACAGTCGGAAATTGAAAAGCTGGCTGACAAAGTGGAGAAAAAGGTAACGTCTTTTTTTACCTACGATGAAATCCCTCAGTGTTGTATTTCCAGTGGCGCGACTCGATGGCCGAGTGGAGCGCTATCCCGGATCGGTCAGCTAGCCTCCATGAACAGTATGAAGCAGCGAAGGTTCATGTGGAAATGGCCTTCGACGACTTACTGAAGGCTCTTGAAGAAGCCAAAACCAACAAGGTTCGCTCCTTAGAGTCGTTTTGGGCATTTCCGGCCTCTTTCGCTTGCTTTTTCATGGTGTCACAGTGAAAACTAACCAAAATCGCTTGAAAATTTGTGCCCTCTTTTTTGTGTAGAAACAACGTTACGTTTTCAGCTTGCTCAGTTGGAGGAAACTCGTCAGAAACAAGAAGTGGCTATTGAAGATCTATACAGAAAAATGAATCTGAATGAAGCGAGAGTGAGCGATGCACTGAGGTTGGACCATTGCTGTGTGCTGATTTTTACAATGAAGCCTCCACAATATTGCCTAGATATGATGGAACAACGTTGAATCGGTGCTCCTGAATGAAATTCTTTTTGGCGCAGTTGGTCTTGGTGGGGGCATTTTGCTGGTTCCATTGATCACTGCCGATGCCTCCTGTGGAAACCTGTAAATTCCTATAAAGCTGTGCACGGTCATGAGCTTCGTTTACCCTTGACAGGAGTCTACAGATTTTACCAAGATGAGGCGTGTATTTTAACAGGGATTATCAAGAGAAACTAGCGAAAGTGCAAACGCCCCCTTTCCCTCAGCCCCCTTCCTCTCCCCTCTTGCCCGAAGAAGAACAGTGCCTCCCTTTTTTCCTGAGTATGTAGTTTGCTGTTAGTCAGGGTGGACATTAAAACGAAGAAATATTCTCTATTACAAAACTCAAGAAACTTCACAGAAAGAAATGGCTGCGTTCATACCTTGCATCAGCCTTCAAGCGTACGCCAGCGTTTTCAGCTACAGCCCGCCAAACGAAAATGCCCGCTAAAACGCTCAAAACGCTGACGCAAAGTATGTACGAAGCTTATAAGTTGTTTTCTTTTGCGGCCCTCCCCTGTGCTTTTTCACAATGTCTGAATGACTGACTGCTGTATTGGCCATGTCCTACCGCAAGCCTTATGTTCAGATTTGCGCGTAACTTGCTGTCAAAATCGAATGGTATGGAGTTACTGGCAAGTCGTCGTAAAGTTGTGCAACAGCTTAACAACCTAGCTCACACTATGCCAGCCCTAGGAATTCAGGTGAGGCTAGACTACTTCTTACTTCTTGTGCTAGGCTACTTCTTCTGTGATCGCTATTTTAGTAGTTTCTCTTTAGGTGGAACTGGAATATCAGCCGTTATCGAAAAAGCAATTAGACACGCATATGAATGCTATTTGTGGAAATGTCATCGGTGAGTCTCGGAGATCTCTAGAAGTTTGCTGTAATGGCACATGGACGAAAAAAGAGAGTTTAATGAGTAATGTCTTCTTCAGGCCGAATGGTGTCAGCCAACGTCAAGGAAACGATAACAGTGCAGCAGCCACCTACCCAGCAAGTCCAGCAAAACCAGTCAGACTATCCAGCAACTAGAGTTGGTGCTGCAACCTTGCCTGGCGCCACCGATTGGAATCGATCATTGAGCAATGGTCATGGGTCAACTGGTGACTTGGGAGCAATCGGCATTGAAAGAAAGAAATCAAGGTGTGACAGTTGTTCTTAATATCCATATTTTCCAAGAAATTATAATATTTTAGTATCTCGTCTGCGTGGAGCAACAGCATCGGACCGTCCCGAGTCACTGGTCCGGGAGGCGATGCATTTGGCTGGCCTCCCAGTAGTCATCCACCGGATTTGCCTTCGCCTTCTCCACCGATACCGTTGAAGGATGTTGCTCCGCCAAGTTTCACCGTTGGTGGACCGGGCGTCATCGGTCAGCCTTCAAACGCGACTCCTTCAGTCACCGCATCGGGAGGAAATGTGAGTTGAACTTTCGTTTCTTTCAGGTTTCAATAACGACGACGACCTTCACAGCGGTTTCCTGTGAAGTGTATCATAGTTTGCGTCAGCGTTCCGAGCGACTAGGAAACTATAGATATCGATCCATCGTTTCGAGCGCACGCCCGAGTTTCGCGGGTAGTTTTGAGCTTTACGCGCTGGAAACGCTGGCGTTGCGCTCAAAACGTAGGACTCGCATACCTATAGTTTGTGGCTTGCTGGAAAACGATGGGAGCCTGAAAGATCTAGCCCTTGAGCGGGATCCTTTCGAGATTTTGTTTGTCCACAGGTGAACATTGAGTGCTACTTTCTCCCAATTCTTCTCTGGAAAGTATGGCCTGCAGCTCGGTTCTTGGTTGTTGCGTCTTTATGTAAAGGGGCATAAGAATTTGATGGGAACTAGATTTTAATCCACATATTAGCTTTAAAATCCGGATTTCAATCCACATATTAGCTTTAAAATCCGAATTTGTTGCGATTAAGCTATATTATTCCAGCCTTTATTGACTGGAGCATCAAATACCGCATCTATGATCTACAACAACTACCAGTGGCCACCATCATCGAATCCAGCTCAAGCAGCTGATCTTCGTTTGTTTCCGCCAATGTCACATCCGTCGTCGGTTGTTGGAGCGAATCAGTTGAAACTGGCTCAAGCACAGGCACAGGCAGCACAGGTGGGCTCGAATCTCATTGATGTTATTGGAACTTGAATGTCTTCTGCACTCAGGACTCATCCTGCCGTTGGGGAATTTTTTTTACAAAATACGAGTCCCTTAAATTCCCTTTCTTGATGCGACGCTCTTTCCCATCCAAATCCTTACCTGCCATCTTTCTAAATTTCACGGCTTCCCACCAGTTTTTTTCAGACTCTAGGTTTTGCCCAAATCTTCCAGTTTTTCTCCAAAAAAAAACTACCGTCGACCTGGGCGGTGAGGGGTAGAGTCAAATAACGCTTTCAAAACCGTCGAAGCTGCGAAAAGTCAGCTATCGCGGAAAATCTTTCTCAGAGGCAAATACGACCTCCCCCTCTAGCGAATGATTCTCACCCCAGCTGGAGGTGCTCAACGTATAACGTGTATTTTTTGAGATCTCTATCAGTTTCAGCTTCAAGCAGCTCTCCTCTTGCAGAATAACGGACTTGGAAATCCCAATCTACTCATGGTTAGAACTATTTCAGTATTTATTTTTCTTGCCATTTTACGCACTTCGTTTATGGTAATTCAGCAGGCGCGACTGCGATCGTTGGGACCTGGAGTAGATCCACTTTTGGCACTCGGAGGGCTGTCATTGGCTGGTGGTCCAGGGGATGGCGGTGCTCTCCTAGGAAGTGGAGCACAGAGAAGTTCACCGCAAGAGGTCCTAAATTCAGCTCGAGTACCTGAGTTGAAGATCCACAGGCAAATCTTCAATATCGATTTTTTAAAGTTCGTTCATACTCTGCGTCAGCGCTTCGAGTGTACGACAGTGCTTTGAGCGTTTCGCTGGTAATTTTCGGCTTTTCGGGGGAAGTCGCTGTACTTCCCAGTCTCTCAAAACTCGCTGACGCAGAGTGTGAACGCAGCCTCAACGTGTCGACTCATGGACAAGTTATATAACTCTTGAAATTACAGCGTGTTTGGGACAAGCCAGCAAGGCAGTTCGATGCGTGAATTGCATTGTCCATCCGGTTTCTGTTTGTCAGAGAGCGATGATATCCTTATTGCTGATACAAACAATCACCGCATTGTAGTTTGCGGACCGCCACATCCATGGAAGATTGGCAGACCCGGAACAGTAAGTAAAGCATGACTGGGCATTCTGGTTACACTTCTTTCGGTTTTTTCTTTTCGTATAGCCTGAGTGTTTCTTCTTTTTTCAAGGATGATGGGCAGCTGTGCTTCCCGCGCAAAGTGATTGCTTTGAAAGGTGACGTTACGAGGTATGCTGTTCTTGACAAAGGTGTAGATGGTAAAACACGTGCACAGCTGTTCGACCAACGTGGTGAATTCATCAAACGCATCAACATGGGTGGGCATTACACTGTACAAATGTTTGACATTTTCTACTCTTATTTGGTTTCGGTAAAAGTTTGATGATAAGTTTAGTGCCTCTGGTACCTCGCGGTGGAATAGAAGTCTCAGCTGCTTCATGCACGTCCTCAGGCCACCTTCTGCTAGTCGACACTAGTGGGGTGGTTTATTGTATTGGTAAGGCCGCTCATTGCTATCGATGCTGCAAGAACTGGTTTCTATGAACAAATGCGTTTTCTTCCAGACGTAGACGTACCGCGAGTTGTGTTCTGGTTTGATGCGTCGTCTCATCTTGGCGAAGCAAGCGACGTAGCCATTTATGAGAAAAACGTTTATATAACTGATTTCAAGCATCACTGCGTGCAAGTTTTCAACACTGATGGTATGTGCTTGGAAACAGGCTGTTCGGTTTTGTTCGCTGCAGATGCGAAGGCGTTCCAGAGCGGTGTGGTGCGGGGGTTGGGTTGAACGCGTCGCCAGCGGGTTCTTCGCCAATTGTGGGTGCTGGCAGGCAACCAGAATTGGTGGAAAACTATTAGCACCACTCCAACTCCAGCTCCCTGGCATGCCCCAGCGTCACAACACTGTAACTTGCCCTAGGATCGTTGAATCTATTATTTCCTTATTCAGGGCAGTTTATTCGTAAACTGGGTGAACCATCACAAACACCGTATCCAATTGGTATTGACGTATCAAAGAATGGTGACGTTCTTGTTGCCGATACGCATGGGAATCATCTTCACGTCGTAGTATTCACTGCAGACGGCACCCTTCAACAATCCTTTACGCATAATGAGTTCAGAGTAAGTCGTTCAACTTGTCACGACATGAAACTTAATGACACTTCCGTAACTGCAACTCGTGGATAGTGGGATTCCAACATAAAAAATACTGTTTTCCTCCTCTTAAGCAAAAAGAGAAAAATCATCGAAGACGAAATGTGCCCTCTACCGTGCATCCTGGTTCTCGCATTTTAAGGAGATTGGTTATCCTAGTCCTTGCCTTATACGGAGATGGGGTTTGCAGCTGCATTAGTGCGCCATTTTATCCGGTCGAAACTGCACGAGAAAGGGGTGCAGGGTGCAATGCCCAGGAGCCGTCTCCACACCCCTCCCGTGCTGCAGCTGTGGCCAGCCACCCGCCTAACATTGCTCGATCGCGCTTTTGTCTGGACCCAATCATTTGTGGTCATGCTCTGCCACTGAGTGCATGTTTCATTGCTGAACCTTAACATCGACGCAATTGCTGCAGCTCGAGGATAGCGCGGGCGGAGTATGGAGGCGGCACTCGGGTGCCACTGTCCGACAGCCCCGTTCCGGAATTTTTTAAGTAGAGAAGGTGGCACGCTGCTGCTGTGGACCCCTTCGCCAGCATTGCAAGAACCATCATGGAAGGGGGCAGTGTACAGTTTGTTTTTGAAAGGGATAGGCATTAGTACAGTCACGCAGCCACACAAATAAGGGAGGATCGAGCACAACGGCACGGAACAGTCGTGTGATCAGTAATCATGGGCATCGCTACTTAGGATCATAGGGCGGCATTTCTGGCCATAGAAACCCACAGTTCCCTTGCCGGAAGTTTTCAGTGGCGAAAGTGGCAATTCTTCCGGCTGCGTCCATGCGCTATTTATACATGGGAAAGATTCTCTGGTCTAATCACGGAATGTCTTTGAGTATTGGTTCTCCCTTCATGGTGAAATCATTATAGAAGAGGTCCAGGGTTTCGTCCTAGAATGCACTTCTATGAGGTGTAGTCGAAGTCCTCTTGGTGTAAGATGGGTTCCGTTTTTTCGCGGGAACTAACTCTATATAGATCCACATTAAATTCACATTTATTAATTGATCTAATGATTTGCAGCTGTCTCGTTGTGTCGGTCTGCGTGTCGCTGGAAGCGGTCATGTTGTCACTTTGTGCAAACATAACCACACACTTTTCGTGTTCAAACCGCTCTACATTCGTTAAATTGGACCTGGAGTTGGGATTGATATGCCTGACACATCGGAGGGTTTGGACATCTAGCTTTTATCCGATCAACTTGCCGCAGTTCGTAATTTTTTTAATTTTCAAATGTCTTTGTTGATGTATTTTATTCAGTTGATGCTTTCTTTTCAAGCACTCCGATTATCCACTCCTTTCTATTGGCGCATTCTCTAAAATCGTCAACACGTCGAATTTCATCAACTTGCTTCATGTTCTTTTAGCTCTAGCACCTTTGCTCAGGCCCTCTTCGCTAGCGTGTCGATCTCTTTTTCTGTAGGGCGGATTATCCCGAGTTATACTAATGCGGGTCAGTTAGTAGTGTGTGTGCATGCGTGTGTGTAATCTTCTCATCATGTTAGTGTGTTCTGTATTTATATTTCTCCAGGTAATCTCCTTTCCTCGCAGACTTTCAGCCCACGAACTCTCGAAACATCGAACTCACTCCTTCCAGCGATGCACTGGGCAAGCCACTTTTCAGATTCGTTTTCTCAGTTCTTAGCTGTCTGGAACTATGGTGCCACTCGCTATGGCCCAATTCGAAATTCTTTTGGGGTTAATAGTACCCTCACCGTAGGCTTAACTAGCTGCCTCAAACCCCCTTGGGAGAGAGTTCTACAGGTTGTGAGTACAGGCGATTTGGTGGAGGTACAAAACTTTTGCATTCACGGTACTGCTGTTAGTTACGTATTGGTTTTGTCCGGTGGTCGGTTAGGCTCCTTTTTATTACCAGTTGCTCACACAAGCAGTTTGCCTAGATGGTTATTCTTAGTAGTAATATTATGATTATCTGACGTTGTCCTTCACTTATACGGTGTCTCATCATCTAAATAGTTTTTTAGCGTTTATGATATTTTTAGAAGTGTTGTTTTCCCCCTGTTTTCCCATGTAGTAGCAAATACCAGTTGACGTGTGAGGACTCACGGCTTGGTTGATAATACTTGGCGCATTTGCAAACCTTGAAAAACTTGATTCTAGAGCGCCGAGCGCATTAGTGTAAACTTACTCTTTCAAAAAAAGGTTCTCTTATCTTTCTCCCATCTCTTGGTCCACTTTTTTCCTTTCATCTTCGCGCGGCTCCATTTTGTTTCTCTCTTTTATTCAAGAGAGGGAGCGTCAGCGTGGTATATTACACGAAATTTTTTTTGCATCTATTTTTTGTGTTCACGTTTCCAATTTTGTTGCATGGTTCCTCACCGTACCGTCGTTGTGTAGCTGTATCAGTTGTCCTATTTTTATTTTATTTTCCTTTTTTCATCATATTTGTTATTATGAAACATTCAAGTTAGTCGTCTAGCCATTGATTCTAGTGTTAAAATGTGCTTTGACGGTGTAATTTATGTCAGTTACTCGTATACATATGTTATTGTAATAGAGCATATTTTGGCTGACCATTTAAGACTGCGTTCATAGTTCGCATCAGCGTTTTGAGGCTTTCGAGCGTACGACAGCGGTTTGAGAGTTTACGCGGGAGTTTTTAATTTTTTGCGGGCAATCTGAAAATGGTGGCGTACGCTCAGAACGCTGGATCGATAGCTATATTTTCCTAGTCGCTTAAAACGCGGTTGTAAAGTATGAACGCAGCCTAAGAGTATCTGGCGTAAACCTTCGTTGTCCTGAGCCGATGTGAACAACTTTGGTATATTTTTTTATTAAAAGCTCTATATTAGATGTTTTGGCTCGGTGGGTGCGCCAAATGATACTCAACGAAGCCCGTACAAGGACCTTGTGAAGACCTGTGAAGCCACGTAAACTAAGCGTCTTTTTGGACCTTTCGCAGATTTACAAGTATTTACATGTAAGTTAACCAGCAGAAGGAACCAGCGAAAGCCCAAAGTGCCCCTACCAAGCCAAACAATGCATGTTTTCCGTTTAAATAATCACCAAAGTATGTTGCTCACATTGGCTGAGGTGAGAACAGCTACGAATTTCTATGATACGTCTATGCCTATACATTCCGTGCTGTGCGATGTTTTCAATGTTGGTTATCATCATGCTCGGTGCTTGTCGGACCCCTATGCGTTGTCTTATTATTGATTGATTGACAGAGTTTCCTTTTTCATTTCATTTTTTTCTTTTCGTTGTAAGTATTATTTCTAATTTTGCACTTTTATCACATGCATGTATTCGTTGGACGTTTATTATTCGTTATATATCTATCCTACCTAATTAGTCATGTTACTCGATGATGATATATTAATTTGTTACTGTATAATTTTTCATATTTAATCAGCTGTTATTTAGATTTCTTATCATTATATGATGTGGTGTATTATTTAGATTTGAATCATATATTTTGAAATAGGATAGCTTGCTTTCATTGTGTTTTTTTTACTGGTTTGTCTTTTTTTTCTCATTACTGCTATAGGGGATTTCATATACATCTGTTCAATTGATTTCGCTCTATGTTCTTCATTCGCACTTTAACAGTTGGGAATTTTACGCAGTTTATCAAATAAATATTAGTGTTTTCTGCAGTTTTTAGTGTACGGTGGCTTTTTCCTACTGCGGTTAACGAAGGTGCAATACAAGGGTCATTCTGGAAGATTATTCGTAGAGGTCCAGCCGAGACCTCGTTCATACAGCGCGACTCATGCGATCGACTGGATGAGCGCACCATTAATCGTTGGACCGCTGCAAGGTCCCATCGTGACTGTGATTAAATTAGAATTCTCAAAAACCACATTTTTATTTTATTTTATTGAAGCGGTCCAACGATTAGCGATGAAGCACCAGCTGTTCCAAAATCGCGTGACTGAAGACCCGAGTATTAAAGCGGTTGCGCTACCGCTGCGACCACATCGCGAAGTATAAACGCACTCTAAGCAAAGTTTGGTGAATAAATGGAGCCTTTTATTCCATTCCTTGCTGGACTTCTGGCCACTGGTGCTTCTGTAAAAGCACTAGCCACGAAACAACTGAGGTCCGCCATAAACACGTACAAACTCGGGAATCCTATTCGAAAGTCTTTCGCTCCCTGTGAGATAGTTCAGACTTCGCGATGGCAGCGCCTCGGTCGCGCGTTCGACGCGATCGATGCGCATGCTTTCGACTGCATCGATCGCGTCGAACGCGCGACCGAAGCGCTGCCGTCGCGAAGTCTGAACGCTGCCTAAACTCGTATCTATTTCTGTTTCATCAGCCCCACCGCAGTGAAGAACGAATGGAGCTTACATAGCAGTCCGTGTCAAAAAGGCGAAACGGACCACTGCTTTTGCTCTAACTTGATTTTTTCATAAATGAAGGCACAGACAAGGGTACTCTGTCGAAAACAGTTTAGCAATACCAAATAAAGTGATAGCTCTAAAAGTGGTAGATGTAGTTGTCATAGCTTTTTTACTTAACAGCTTTTATATAATAGCTTTCGACTCTGGGAAACAAGAAATTGTACGTTTAAGCATAGTTCGCTGAAAAGATTAGTTATTTTTTTCAAATGGTTAGCATGCCTTGATAGAGATCAGCTGCCGTCAAAGCACCCAAAAGTATGTGACGAGCAAGATCACAGTGGCCATAGAGAGCCATGTAAGCGAGAGCATGTAAAGAAAAAAAATAGAAAATTTACAGTCTTCTTCACTGCGAACGGTGAGGTGTGTCAAGGTAGGGAGGAATGAGCTTGGCGCGGCGGCGGCTCATTTTTTTGCAAGCGACAAGACTGTATCATATCGCTCGTAAAAGTTGTCTTTCACCAGTTGTAGTCGCCGGGGCGCTACAGCAGGGCTCACAGACACGCCCTATCACCCGCCGCGAACAAGGCTGTAGGCGGTTAAAGGATTGAAGTGGTTTTCCTAAGACCCAGCATTCACAGTGGGACTCAATCCACTCAACGTGGAAACGCTGCAGCTTGTTGACTCTCTCTGTGTCTCTCATGTCAAATAGCAAGAAATGCGGGGTATGTGACAAGAGAATCGTAATTCGCCGCGCTGGTGGACGCCGCGTGCGACTTCGCGCCAGCAAATGACGATGGTTCCAGGTAGTAGATGGCGACAACAGGCAATTCAGAACTGAAATGTCATGAATGTCTACGATGACGGGGTCTACATGAAGTCCGGTGCTCTAATCGACAGGTTAACACGAGTTAAGGAAATACCGCTTCCATCGCCGCGCGCGGCGGAGCGGCAAAACACGATTCTCTTGCCCGTCTCCCAGAAATGCGTGCGATGTCGTGACTCGGAATCAACTATATACATCCTACTTTGCGACATTATTCACAGGAGAAGTCAAGGCGAATGACGTGCAAGGTAACCAGTCTCGAAATATTACCACGCAAGTTACGTAAGAAGAATCATGGCTCAGATGTGCACCGACCAGGGCAAGTCCTACCGTTAGTGAGAGTTTACAAACACTTCCATCGCTCTCCCCCCCCCCCCCACCCATCCTACCCTACCATCTTCCTAGGTTTTCCTTCTTCCTATAACTTACTTTCCCCGCTTTTTTTCCAAAAATTTCTTCAATTTTCCTCGCAAAGAAAATGCCGTCGAGGAGGGAGGGGGAGGGTACATAGCGCATTCAAGACAGTAAGAGCCGCGAAAAGTCATCTGAAGCTTCTTTTCTCAATGGCAAATGCCCTTCCTCTCGCTTGGGATCCCCAGCGTGCTACGTGTCCTGGCGCGAAAATAAAGTTCATACATTTTGTACAGGTATGTTAAGAACCAGGATACACCGATCGAGGTTTTCCAACGCAGAGAATGGAAGTGAGTTGAAACTGGTCTAACAAAAATTTCTTGTTGTTGCTTTTCTAGTTTCAGGCGAGCTATTCTCCCCTCCAACCCGCGCTCTGTAATTTGAGTATGTCTGATGGTTGATAGATGATGGATTCCTCCCCCATTTTTTCCCGGTAAGCGGGGCGTATTGAGGAATAGTTTGACCAGCGCAATAATGTGCCCCGTCACAACCGCGACAATTTGAATGCGCGCCAGCGCGCGAATGTCAAAAGTTCAAATGTCTCGCTGTTTTTTTTTCGAATTGAGAGTGTATTATTTCACATTTTCACTAAGCATGGTCGTCACTTTGCACAAGGATGCACATCACGCTCTCGACGATATGAAATGCTTTATAGCTGATGCAGACGAGGAGAAGAAGTTGGTTTTTATTTTCCCTTTGGAATTCGCGTTCTTCTGTCCTTTTTTGTAATTCCTCTGTTAAAAGCTGCAAGTCCTGATTGGAATTTTTTTTGTTCAGTTCCTATGTTATAGGGCTTTGGAAAGTATCGTTAGTCGATTCGCTGCGAGTGGTGAAGGGAATGCTTGCGTGGTGGTCGGTAGAGGAGAAAGCGGACGCACAACCGTCGTGAAAAATGCCATAGATGAGTTTGAGCTCAGCGCGAAATTGCTGATCGTTAGTGTAGGTAGGTAGTGTCAGATGACTAACAATTATTTGAATGAATGTTTTTTCCTTAAGCCCAAGCATTTAATTGTTTCAGCTCAGCTTGGATCCGAAAAGAACACCCTACAAATGCTAACAAATGACAAAGACGTCAAGGTCGGTCTTTAGAATGAAGTATAATTTCAGTACTTTATTCTCCAGGCAAGAATATTGAAACACTCACTCTATAATTTCAGTAATTTTATTTTGACGCTGCATGTGAACAATTTCAACATATTGATTTTGCTATCACTAACCAAATTCTGAAAAACTTGTAAACTTGGTTTTGCCTTAGGTTGTTGTGACTGTAATCGAGGATTGCCTGAGAATTGGCGGACCGTCAGCGACAGTCTTTTACTTTACCTTTACTCGCATACAACACGCGAAAAGTAAGCATTATCAGTGGCTGCCGTGTTCTCATGCGTGCAGAATCAGGTACGGATTTTTAGCATACGTATTTGACCATCGATATCGTTGAACAGCTAAAATAACATCGTGAGAACCAGCGTAATAGTCTGCATCCATCCCTCCTTGTTCGTCGACTCTTGGGGCGCGCCGTTTTTGAGTTCCCAGTCTCTGCAAGCTAGAAGGAAAGTAGTTATGCAATCCAGCCATTGAGCTTATCTTGACCTTTTAGAGCGAGTTTGAAGTGTATGTGTTTGAATTGGTCTTGTCGTTTCCTTTTGTTCTCAAGATACTCGGAACGCTCTAAACTCTTGGAACGCCGGTGGAGAGTATGAACTTAGCCTAGAAGCTTAATCCCCTTTTGGTGTATACACAGCTTCGAAGAAAGATTGCAAACTTTCGAAGTAATTTCGAACACGAGGGATTCAGCTACAATACTATTTATTTATTTATTTATTTATTTATTTATTTCCTAACTATTACTAAGCAAGGTCCAAAAACTGTCTGATGTTTCACAATTGTTCTACTTTTTCAAGAACTTCATCACACATGGAGAAAGAGAGTTCGATCTCGGCTACATGGCTCGTATAGTGTTTCAACCAGCTAGCACATTGGACGAATATGTGAAGGTGTTCGGGAAGTTCTTGGGTAAAGAGAATTCGAAGACATCAAAGGGTAAGTCCTTGAAGTCTCCATGATTGAACTGCGGTGTTAGTTTGCTATAAGGGGCTTCTGTAAGCCACTCAAGATCGGGTAATTCTTTCCAATCCTGCGAGACTCTTGTTAAAGCACGAAACGATAGAAAACTTGTTCTCTGCGAGACCGTCATATCTAAACGTGAGTGAACATTCTAGGAAATCAAAGGAAATAACGTGCCAATGAAAGTAGTCTCCATTCGTAGCTTCAAAAGGGTTAAGATTTTGATTGCCCACACATGTTGGTAAGAGTTTTAGTTACACCGCGTGGAACTGTGGCGGGTTTAACCTTTTCAAAACATGCTAGCAACAAACACCTCACTTTGTTCTTATGAATATCTCGCGCTCAAAAAAAGAAAGAAAGAAAAGACCATAAAGTAACAAAGTGAAGTTTTTAGAGTGGGCAAAGTTTGTTACTACTCTTATGGCAGATGCTGCAGTTCTGGGTGAATTGACCTATTTATTTTCGGTATGTATGACCCTTTTATCAATCAAATGTAACGTCTATTCGCTACGGTTCGATTCATTCGTCAACATCTTAATTGTTAATTAATGAAAGAATGCATGTGTTGTATACAGTGAACTGACTAGATTAACTTATGTATTCGTCGTGATTTTGTATGATACATTCAGACGCGACAATTCATACGCCTGTTGCTGTAGAGGGGGCGAGCGCCTTCCTATGTCTTTATTTGGCGAATGAGTCCGGGCAGCCATCCGCTGAACTCCTAACGGAAGCCGTGGATATGATCTTGCCACGGAAAGATTCATTGGAAACTATTGTCAGAAATGTGAGTAAATTTGTACTGGAAAAGGTAATTTCACGATTTTCTCTGTGGATGGGTAGCGGCGGAATGCTTCCTCCGAGGCGAACTTTGGTCATGTGTGAGCAGAGCGCATCGATATCGAGCGGATTTTTAGCTAAATCGTTCCTTTCGAATTTACCTCCTCCAGCATTACCTTGCCTAGAGGGCCACCTTTCAACACCAAATTTGCTGGAAAATTCGCAGTCGAGCGGAGGAGGGAAGGGCCGTCCGATCAACTATCACAAACCAGTCGGCTCGCTGGCTGACGCCGGCGCGCCTCTCTCTGCTCCCACGGCCGGCTGCGCGGGAGGCGCGGCTTCGCTACCTTCTTTCACTATTTCTAGTCCTCAATTGGATACAGGCTTTGTTCTAGTACTCATGGTTAAAGGCTCTAATACTATTTGACGACCTGGTGGTTAGAGCTTATGCAGCAATACGCTCGCTTAAATCGCGCTAAGAATAAGTACGTCGTGCGCTCCGCCCACTGGGAGCGGGTTACAACACACCACAGACACACTCAACTCTTGCCATATATCCAGCAGTTGAGGTCCTGCACATCTCTGCTTACATGTTGACGGTGTCTGGACCGCTCTGAAACCGTTTTGCAGATTTTTTGTCTGGCTGCGCCCACCTCGGCCTGGCCCCGTCCACAACATATATGCCCCAGATTTCTCAATGGACGTCCAACTCAATTTGTTCCGGTCTGGAGTGCTCTGAAACTATTTTACAAATTTTTCGTCTGACTCCGTCCACCTCGGAGCAGGCCCCGCCCACAATGTTTGTGCCCCACAATCCTCACCGACGACCTCTCTCCTGACCTTAATCCACTTTTTTTTCCGGTTTCTGAGGGTGTTCTGGACCGTTTTTTTTATGGACCTATGTGTCTGAATCCGCCCATTCTCGGTGCACCTCGCCCACAACTGCTGTATTTGCACTTTAAACGCGAGACCGCTTCGGACCTTAATCCACTTTTGCGCGTCGTCTGTAGTGCTCTAGGACCGAACTACCATTTTTTTAACTAACACCTCACGTGTGAGGTCACGCCCCACCAACTGTAGCGGTCATTCATACCTCAGATATGGCGGCCCTCCACGGACGTTGTTTTCGCCATGTACTTTTTTGTTTTGCGATCTCTAAACTCTACCGGGACCGAGGTTCACGACATTTGTGGGAAGCCACCGCCATCTCGCATACGCCCCTCCTATCTCGCTGTGTCCCCTCCATTGATGCTAACCCTTTTCCCAACCTCCATCTCGGGACTGCTCTGGAGCCGAATTATGAATTTTTTTAGCGAGACCGCTAACTTTCAACGCATGCCCCGCCCACTGTGGGCGGGGCTTACCATGGGTTACGGTTGCTCTTTACATCTTGTCACATGCCCTACCCATCCCGACCTTGACCCCACCTCTCCAAGTTGTTCTTCTGGTAGAACCGAATTTCCGGACAGACAAACAAACAAACGAAGCAAATTATATATAGTGGGTGATATTTCAACGAAAGCTACGAAACAGATACGTCCTCCCCATCCCTCATTTTGTGCGCCCTATTTGTGATATTGTAGTTAGTGCTGCTCAAACCTAATAAGTAGGTGTCTTCGACTGTCGGATAGGGTTCCTTTCGTATCAAGGCACAGGAGTTCATTGATATAAAATTGACTGATATGCTCGTTATAAGCTCCAAGAACAACTCTTGTTGAGACAATTACAGTGCTTCATCGTGCTCAACTAACACTTTTCCTGAGCTTGTACCGTTCTGTAACGTAGATCGTGATTGATACGTTTTTCAGCCCTCTCCTTGTGGTCTTTATGCGTGCTTCTGTGCGTTTATCGGCGACTACGAACATGTCCAGTGTCTGCAACATTGGGATATAGAAAAATTGCGCAAGGTAATGACAGCTTTTGCCCATACTTTAGCATTTTCGTCACGACTTTCGTTTGGCAAACTGTGGCCATAAACAGCAGTTATCATCACATATGGAGTCGAAAAAACTGAATTCTCAATCCAAGGAAGTTCCAAAATAAATCACAGTTTTGTGGCCGAGGCCGTCATTAGGATGTTTTTAGCAGGCTTTTTGAGGAAAGTGGCTTGAAAATATTTCCGCTTTGTAGAATTTCGGCGTATTGGTAACACTGTGGACAGCCGTGTACGTGTGCCGTCCGATTTGGCTGTGTACAGGGAACTCGATCGACTAGTTGATTATGGACTCCTGATTACGGACTCAAAAGCGAACAATGTAGTATTCAGGTACGATCACTGTCCATTGTGGTCTCTTTTGATGAACCATAAAGGATGACGAATTCGCGGAGTAGTGTCGTTGTTCGGTGCAGACGGGACATATAAGGAACAGGGGCGATTCTCTTAATCCGAGTGGGTGGAGCGTGCTGTTGGTGAAGTCCACTGCCTGAAAACCGCAGCAAGGGACTTGATGTGAGTGAGGTTAGCGGGTGCGCCATTGCAATCTCTAATATTCCTTCTATCACTTTAGCTGAGAGTGAGAAGGTGGCTGGAAAGTGGGTGTGAACTTTTTGAGCGTTCTAAACTTCACCTTTTTTCTATCGCAGAATGCGTTTTTTAATGTATTTCTCTCTCTCATACAAAACAGAGGTTCTTTCGTAGAAGTTTTCTGTGCCGGTATTATTTATCTATTGATGGGTTTATGAAGGACAGCCATTCGGAGGTTTTTTTTGAGAATCTGTTGCCCATCGTTCCTCCACAATTAGTACTTGAAAGTCATTCTTGGGACACATGGGAGTTTTGTTCCACTGAAAACTGGATGAATAAAAAGCTAAATTGGGATTAATTAGAATGTTTCAGCGATGCTCACTGAATGTGCACTCGAAAACGTTGGGTAACATACTGCGAGGTGTTACTTTACCGATGGCTATTGGATATTGGTTCGATACGCAGACGGATGAGGTTCTTAACTGTGAACGTGTCTATTCGTTAGTCTTTCTGTTTAGGCTGGCAAAAATGAAAAGTAGGAAGGTGACAGGAATACCTTTGATTAAGCAAAACTTTGAGCAATAGTAATCTCTTTTCGAGAGATTTTCAATGAATTGATCCGCTTTAGAGTCTAGAGGGCGGGAGTTTTTAATCGTTTTTCTCATTGTGTCGCTTTCAACGTAGCAGAGGGGGGGGTGGGGAATCCGTGAAGTCACTAATAGTTACGTTTTTACTCATTGTGATGGACGCGAATGTGATGTCCGAATCCGCGGTGGCGATACATTGCCGCGAAACCTAACGCTGATTATCATTTGCTTTAATCTTGTCTTTAATTTTGAGGGCTAATTGAAGTTTTGACGTCGGTCCTGGGATATGAGAAGAGAAAATAAACTAATCGGCCGGTGAATGTTGGTAATTGCTTGGATATCTGCCTTGCCCTGCCCGATTTATGGTAGAGGACTGTTAACAACTCCAACTCTAATAAGAATGTAAAATCAAGTTCAGTCCCAAGAACATTTTAAGTCGCCCTAACTCGCCCTAACTTTCAGTCGCAACTGAACAGCTCAACAGTTTTCGCTATCTGCCTGCGAAATTTTGTATGTCTGAATCCGATGTTCTAACCATGTTTATTACGGGGTACATAATGGGTGTTATCGTGTTCCACTGTGAAGTTGCTCATTCCGAGCAGTATAAAACTGCTATTTGTTTAATGTTGTCATTTTTTTGAATGCATTGATAAAGGACGCCTTCTTTTTCAACAAACTCCAACGACCGAATAGTTCTTTTTCGTGGCACTTTTACAGGGGGGAAGGCAATAAAAAAGACACTTTGGCCGAGTCACATATCAGTAAAGTTTTCGCAGCCCAGAGAGAAGACGTGGATACGAGTACCAGGGCGGAAGATACCCAAGATGTTCCTCTAAGCAGGAGCTGGCTCTCGCCCATCACCTTCATGTACACCAAAATATGAAGTCCTCCAGTCGCAGCCTGACTGGAGAAGGCCTATGGAATTCACGTCACCTCCAAACAGCTGCGAAACTTCTTGTATGGAGCCACCCATGGACAGCTGATAGCGGCACTCGATCTGGAAGACCTCCAACATCGAGCAGCTCCGACAACGTCGCTACGGTCCAGGATATCATCTTCACCGCAGTCGCCAAGGCGCGGGTTGATGGTATGACCGGAAGTTCCTGGAATGGGAAGACCGATATTTTCTTCGTGGCCCGGACTGAAAGTGAACGCTGACGGTTACATCGACCAACTCGTAAAGAATATCCTGCCTTCATGTCGTCGCCTGTACCGTCTTGCAAACTTCGTACTGCTACATGGAATCGAAGGGCGTTGGAAAAACTTTCGCCTACTTGGAATGGAAGGGCGTTGAGTACCTGAAGAAGACGGAATATTAAGTGTGTCACCTGACCTAAACCCCTCAATTACCCGGTTCGGGCGGAGCTCAACAGGGTGGTCTACAGTGGCGGAGAAATCAACGACCTCGCTGAACTCAGGCACCGAATCACGGTCGCGTGGCAGAATCTCTCGATGGCGCTCGTCCAGAAGGCTGTGGCGGAGTATCATGATAGTGTACAATGTGTTGTTGAATATGATGGTGGAAATGTCCAATCAAAATTTAATAAAGTGTAACTTACATCGCCTTGAAAGTCGAGGAAGAAAAGTGTCTTTTTTTATTGCCCCCCCCTGTATATTCAATATGCGAGG